GAGTTCCTAGCATTAGGAGCAAAAGAATTAGGAGCATTATAATGTCCATTATAACATTATAATGTTACCATTTTTTTTTTTGTTTTGTTTTTTTTTTTGGTTTTTCTCCGGTACCGGGAACCGAACTCACGACCTTGCACTTGCCAGGCAGGCGCTTTGCCGCTGAGCTAAATCCCCAGCCCCCACATGTGTTTATTTCACTTAACTAAATGTAAAGTGGCACAACGTCTGGAATAAAAAATAATTATTTTTTGGAATACAAGGGCTGAAGTTAAAGCTTTTAGAAACTCTCTATTCCATATTAATAATGCACTTCTTAAATATATTTCAGAGTTCTATGGCCTAAACTTCAAAGGTTTGTATTACTGTCTTGGCTTTAGGCTCAGAACTGATTACTGATACATCTATTCACTCTTACCATACATATTTAAATCTGTGGAAAAGATAAACTTGTTCTTTTTATAAAAGTTTTACATTTTCATAAACCAATTGTTCTTAATCCTGGTTGCATATTTTAATAATCTGAGAGCATGAGGTCAAAGAACTTGGGACCCACCCCAAATTAAGCTAAGAATCTGAGAGATGATTTGGGGGCATCAGTAGTTTCATTTTTTTCATTTTTTATTAGTACATGTTTACAGTGGATAAAGATTAGATTCCTCATGGCGATTGGTACATCTTAGCTCCTGTTTTATTCCACCCCTCTTCCTTTCTCCCCTCTCCATCTCTGGATCCCTCTTTTAAAAGCCCCTTTGAGGAGCTGGGGATTTAGCTCAGCGGCAAAGTGCCTGCTTGGCAAGCGCAAGATCGTGAGTTCGGTTCCCGGTACCGGAGAAAAACCAAAAATAAATAAATAAAAAATAAATACAAAAAATAAAAGCCCCTTTGACAGACCTGAGATGCAGCCAATATGAGAAACATTTACCCAAATCTATGCGTCCTTTCTACCGCTGTCATTTGGTAATTGATGCAAATTACCTAATCCAGTCAAATAGCTATAACACTTTGTCAATTGATTGCTTCTGCTCCATTTACTTTCAGACAGTAACATACAGCAATCAGAAATACAGTATATCATTTTGAGAAACAAACATCCATCCAATGTAGGATTATAGAAATGTAGTCTGAGGATCAAATAATTGTGTGACTATAAAACATAAAATTATTTTCTTATAGTTATGAAATCTGTTGAATTAAATAAAAGTATTAGTCCTTTATTGAAAATTACTATACAGAAAACATTATAAAACAAGAAAACTCTTGGTGAATCCATCTAGTGAATAAAAATAATTTTCACTTATCACATTTTCAATGCAATTTTCAATGTAGGTATAGAATATAACAGAATTAAAATGTTTCCAACACTCATAGAGAAACATAGATTGTGCTGTAGGCACGGTAATAGAGAACAACCCAAACTGGTTTAAAACTATCAAATTGATCAATGACAATCTACTTCTAGTGAGCCCATTTCTAAAAGCCAGTCAATAACAAGCTGGTGTTTGGAATTCAGCCAATCAGCAATGGACAGATCCAAAAAAAGAGGTTAATGCTTTCTGCATCAGTCTACAACTCAATACAAACTTACCCCTCAAACCTGAAAGATGAGCACTTTGTTTGGGTGAGTGGAGCTGCACCTGGACAGCATAGCTCTCCCTGTGTAAGCCATCAGTAAATGCAGGTTTGTTTTTGTTTGAGATATTCAATGGTCATCTTATCCTTGGCATAACCATTTTTTTTTTTTTTTTTTTTTTTTGTGGTGCCGGGAATCAAACTCAGGACCTTGTGCTTGCCAGGCAGGAGCTTGTGCTGCTGAGCTATATCCCCGGCCCCAGCATAACCCAATTTTTAAAAATTTATATCTACTGCATTGTGAGTTAAATACAAACTTCAGTAGTAGTGATTACCTGAAATGCTGTGAGAATTTTTTGAAAAGCTTAGCATGTGAGTTATAGACAAATACACTTTCTTTTTTAGTATTATCTCTCTTTTTCTAGTATTATCACAAGGATACTTTCCTTTTTAGTATTATCACTTCACCATCTTTGTATTACCACTATTTCTCTTGAGGCTGCCTCTGAGTATTGCCATGAAAGAGGGTTTTGAATGAACTAAATATGATTTTCTATCTCTGTTCTCCTAAGAATCTATACTTAATCTATTATGTAAATTTTATATATGATTTTTTTCATTAGTGTGAAATATGCAAACAGCCTTTGGAAAATCTGAAAGCAGGTGACAGTATTTGGATTTATAGACAAACAATACACTGTGAACCTTGCTACTCTAAAGTTATGGGTAAGTACTGTGTTCTGTAAGGAACAATTAGTTATACCATTAATAAACATTTAGTGTTATTGAAAATTATATATTTCAATAAAGTACAACTAGTTTATTAATTATTTATTATTTAGTTTAAAATTCAGCTGAAAATAGTTACATCTTGGTAATATTTTGTTCAAAGATATAAAATCAATTAACATTTATATTGTGCCCTAATATTAGATGGGACATAGATACAATTAAGCAAAGAGGCTGTTTATTTTAGCAAATTTTCCATTAGGTTACTGAGTTTCACTGTGACATTTCCACGTATCCATGTATCATGTGTTGATCACATCCCACTCGTCTATCCTTTCTGATCTCCTCCTGTCTTCCCCTAGTCCTGCTCCTCAGCCCCTAATAGTCCAGCTTCTACTTACAGGCAATATTTTTTCTGTGCACACATCAGGAAAATATGTCATACTTTCTGCATCTGACTTATTTTGCTCAACATGAAGAACACGTATTTTTAAACTATTTTTAATAAAGTCAGCAAGAAAAGTTTCAGAGCTAACCTAAGAGATGTGGAGTAATGCTAAGTGAACAACATGAAATTCTGTGAAACTTGATTGATTTTAAAAGCCAGTATCTACATGCAATAGTATGTAGGTACAGTAATGAAAATGATATCGAGGAGAAGGTCTACAGTACTGTGTGAAAGGCAATTTTTCCTGATGTCTTGTTGCTGTAGTGAATGAAAGGGGAACATTTGGGATTCCTACGTGGGATCCAAAATATGGAACTTAATGACAAATATGTCAGCCTAATGAGCTACTGGGATGCTGCATCTGGAAAATGCACTGAAAAATATTCAGAAACCCACGTTCCATCAGGCTGCAGAATCACTTACAAGAATAAACCTAATTATATTCATACGTTGCCTTCTATTTTTTGCTTTCCCCAGACAGTTTTCAGATTTCACTTTTCTTTCTAATTTAGCATCCTTATCATGATCCAATATTATATCATAGGTCTTATTATGCATGGTGGGTGTTCTACAGCTTTTAGTTTCTTATGACTTGGTAACATGGCTGAGCAGATATGGTTACCAAAAGACTCAGAAGTCTTAGTGTATTGACTGTGAACACCCCATAGGCATTGCATTTTTGTGTAGTACACATGAGTTATCAGGTTGTGACTCTCAGGTATGTCATAAACATGCATATCTAGGATTTAGTACTTCATGTATGAATAGCAGCCGCACTGATGCACTCATTAGTAGAAGGTAGACTGGAATGCTTAATCCACCACTATCTCCTGAAGGAAATGTTGATTTTTGATTTTTTTTTTTTAATTTTGATTGTGGTGTTATTTGTGTACTCAATGTGTTTTCTGGTTTTTTTTTTTTTTTTTCTTCCTAGCAAAGTGGATTCAGTAATGCTGGCACATGGAAATCAAGATGAAAAGCATGAAAGAATTAAAAGTTACAAGTTTTAAAAACATGTAGTGTAGAAAAGCTCTTACATTGAAGATCAACATTTATATAAAATTATAATAATTCTGATATTGCATAAATAATCTAATTACTTTCATTAAGGTTATATAGATGAAAAGAGCCATATGGCACCTGGCTAGATTAGTGATAAGAAACTCACAGGGTTCTAGTTACTAACATCAAAGAAATAATTTATTTGCTGATGGTGAACACTGTCAGCCATAGCCCGATCCATCCCTGGCTCTACATCATGGTTCCTATTATAGCAAAGCTGCTTATTTTTCTCACCTTCATTCTTCTAAGAGTTTGGGTTCTGACGCATTGTTGACATCCTAACAAAGATACTAAAGGAAGCAAGATATGCTTGTTTTTTCCTCAAAGGAAATTTTGTTACAAATTTTCCTACAAACTTCAGCACAAAGATGTCAACATAAAAAGTTGTATGTGTCTCAGAAAATCTCTTAAGCTTTCTGTACCTCCATGACATTACTTGTATCATGGGAGACACTGGATAAAATGTTTTCTACTTATTACTTCCCCAGTTCTCTTTTTCTGAAGCAACTTTGAGTTTGCTCACTAAAAACATATCATTATACGTGTTTGTTAAGCTTATTGACTGAAGAAAACACATAAACAATTTGACTTAGTGTCGTCCTTTAGTTTATCACAGCCATAATTTATATGTACTGTATTTTTAAAAAAAGATATAGATTTATTGGGCATAGGTAAACTAATGTGACATGTGTAGTTTATATATTATAATTTGTTGTTTCTCTTGCATAAATTTCAGAAATCTGGGTATACAAATAATGTATAAGAAAGAATGGTTATGGATTATAGAGACATATTACATGTACTCATATTACAGAGCACTTTATATTTACAGAAGTCTTATACAAATAAAGTGAATTAACTGTTACACAGAATTTTTATGGCGTGTCTATAAATATCATCCACTAACATTGTTTCTGTCAATTATAGTGACTATAATTTATTATATCCTATGCTATGTCAGTTAATTTTTTTTAACTACTTAAGCTATAGTTTTTAGTTTTGAAGAGCTTTATAGGAAGGAAGTGAAAATTCAACAATTATGAGAAACTAGTATTATTATAGACATTGAGAAACTGAACTTATAAAATATTTCAGAGACACATAAGAACTGTTTCTTGAAGAAAGTCATATTGAGGTGGGGATGGAATTCTCAGGTGATTTTAAGCAACCTTGAGAAACTGACATAAATAGATACAATGCAAGGTAATCTAGTATTTTGGAACTGATGACAGCTTCAAAGAATTATTCTCCCATGTACTAATTTCATCCATCTGTGCTTCTTAGAGACTGGTCCACAAAGTGTTAAACACAAAGCACTTACACAATGCAGCAGTGTATAATTGTCCTGTGGAGTGGGAGCCAGAGAAAACAATTAATAATAATTTGATATTCAGTAATTCATGCTTGAAGAGAAGAGTGGTAATTGAGCCATATGTTTTATTGTTCTTTTATTACATGCTATCAGACTGAATCAAAAGAAATAATTTTCTTAGACTTGAAATTCACTGCAGAAAAGGGTGGATGAAATAGCATCCCTGCCTTTTCCATGAAGTATATTAACATCTCAATGCTTTTGTAGTAATTAAAAATCATCTGAATATCATTTTAAAACTATAAAAATCTAAAGGGGACACATTTCTTCATTTTCCATAGCTGCTCTATGGATGCTTTCTTCTATAACAATGTATTAAATCAAACTAAATGCTGATGTAAAAATGGAGTAAGTACAGCGTGGAGAGGGAAGGAGTTCTGATTCATCAAATCCACTTCATCATGTCTGAGTTTATTCTCAGTATAGGAATGACACATTTCTAAAATGACTTGGAAGATCTCATTTTTTTGCAGCCAATTAATTACATTATGATTGTCATACGTTTCTTGGACACTTGCCTAAGTCTGGGAGCTCTGTTGCTAATCAAAAAATACGTCTATAAGAGAAATAATGGTTCTCTCAGGACACTATCTCTTTAGGAAAGCAAAAGAAATACAATACTTTCAGAAATGGAATTTGTTAAAATAGTATGTACTTTTAAAGGAAGGCCAAGAAATAAGAATTTATTTGAAAAATAATCTGTATCCTTGATTGTAATCACTGAGCTGCTTGGATGTACAGTATGTGATGGAATAGTTTAGCTTTCACTGCCGGTTCACTCTCTGACTTGTTCACTACGGTAGAAAACTGTGAGTGTTTGGAGCATTTTCTTTCTCAGCTTGATTCAGAGCTCTATCCAAACAAGCCCCTGATCTGCATCACAGCAAACTAACAATGATACCGTAGTGATTTTTTGAAGGACATAATTGTTATTTTGATACCATGTGTAATCTGCTTTTAGAGTTCCACCTATTTTGTAAGATTCAGCAGTTCCGAGAGGCACCTGTAAATACGCTCCTTCACTTGGGTGGGTTTATGTTCCCTCCTAGACCCACTCCCTACTGTTTAAAATGTGGGGTTAGGAAATTGACTTTGTAATGTTTGTTCTTGCTCCTCACCCTCTTTTTATGCGATCTCTTTTACTGGATGCCCTCAGGAAATGGAATGCTTTGTGTATACTTTATAATCTCATTTAAACTATCACAACATAAAAGTTGGACACACTTCTGACCCTTACTAGGTTTTGTCTTGCTATTGGAGCAAGATGGCTTCTGAAATACGTTTACTGAAATATTCAGATGCCTGAGTTAAGTTGTGATTTCAGGTTTTTTTAAATGTTAAAAGGAAAGTGGATATCATTTTTGCCTTACAAGTATCATTTAAGAAGAATCACTTCAGTGTGTCTGCATTCTCTTTTGTACTTCTTCTCATTAATACTTTTAAATACTCAATTGTTCTAGTATCTGTCTAAAATTGATAGTTTATAATTTACATTCATCTGTGCTATTATTTAGCAACTTATACTTTTTCTTAAAACCTGCTGTGTTTCAGGTCCTAGTGATTGATAAAACAACTAAGATTCTTGTCATGAAACTTAACCTCTACAGGGGACAAAGAAGACACAGAAAACAAATAAATATAATTCTGGAATTAATAAGACCCATGCAGGGGGCTGGGGATTTAGCTCAGAGGCACAGCACCTGCCTGGCAAGCACAAGGTCATGAGTTTGATTCCCGGTACCAGAAAAAAAAAAAAAAAAAAAAAACCAACCAAAAAACAAAAAAATAAGACCCATGCAGGAAATAACAATAGTGACTGCATGGTGGAGTATTTAAAAAAAAATAGTGCAGTAAGATGAAAAGGAGATATCTTTTAAAAATAAGTTCTAAATAATGGGAAGGAGTCAGTGGGGAAAAAAGCCTTCCAAGAGAAACTACCATAGACCTAACAAAAATCAGACCATTTTCTGCAGTAAAGCTAACCTCGCTTCTTTAAACACAATGAAGTGGAAATTCAAACACCAAGCCACAAAAACCAATCAAAAAAGTTTTAAGGTTCCTTTATTAACTGTGCAAAAATATTCAGACATTACTCAGGCTGCTTTCAACTCTCTGCCAAGGGTGAATTATACCAAAGGTCTCCCTGGTCCTGGACCCTGGGTGAAGGTGGTCACTTGGGCAAAGGAGCCCCCAGGAGACCACCAATGAGTGTTAGGTGGGGTGGGTGAGTGCAAACTGACCCACTCCTGGAGTGGGAACATGGTCTGATGGGAACATGGTGTGAGGTGTCCTCCTTCATTGGAGGCTCTAAGGATCATATCCATTTTGGCTTTCCAAGCATCATTTCTGATCTAGAAGAGATTTCTCTCAGGAATTTTACAAACATTTTATGTTTCCTTGTTGCAGTATGAACAGTGTGTATAATAGGAAGAAATATTTCCATTTAGGTCTTGTATACTTTTCCTTATGGTTACAATTTGTTAATTTTACCTCCTTTCTCAAGAGAAGAGGAAAAATCTTGAGTTTCAGGGATTCTTGGGGTTCCTAGGGGCAAACTGGATTGAAATCTCCCACGTGAAAGTATCTAGGTCCTAGATTCAGTAGAACTTTGATGGGATTCAGCAACAGAAAGAATGCCAGAAGGCTGGAATTAGTGAACATGAAGAGATTATGTTGGAAAAGCACACAAGAAACAGGACATTATAACTGATCATTAAAAATAAATGTTAATAAGCGAAAGTTGCATTAAAGAAAACTTACAGGAACTATTGGTTTGAACTGATCTCCTCTATGGGGCTCTGAACACCAAACCAAAATAGAACTACTCTTGCTAGAGTTCCATATCACAAAGCTGAAACTAAGTTATTTGACCTTCTGAAACGTAAGAAGAGAGATGATAGCCAAATCCCCCAACAAACCAGTTTTAACTAGCATGATAAGGAAGTCTTTTCTGATTTAACATTTACAAAGAAAGTAGCTTTTAAACAATTCATTTTTTGTTCTCTGTTACTGCTTTCTTAGCCCTTTTCTGTCCATAAAGCTTATTTACTCTGTTCAGCACAGGGAAGCACTCATTCTGTTTTATGCTGTTATACTGATAGTGTTTTCAAATAATTTTGTCCAATTCTAGAATTACCAATTACAAATAAAATTAAAATAAAATTACAAATTACCCAATTAAAATCCTTCAACTAAATGTGTTGTGATTTTGTCTTTTGACAGTTGAAATTTAGTAGAATTTCTTTAAACCCTTTAGGTTTGTGACACTAAAATATTAAATATAACTCATTTTATGAACAGGTTTAGATTATGTTGAGACAAAAATAGCCAACTGACTTTTACTTTATGCATTTCACAAAGATCCAAGGATTGAATCAAGATAGGACATAAACCTAAATGCAAAGTTATAAAATTGTAACATTTCTAAAGGAAAATAGGAAAAATCTACATGTCCTTTAATATTGGTGAAGTTTTTAGATATAATACCAAAAGCCATTATCTATAAAGAAAAAATTGCTAAGTTGAAATTTATTTATAAACTTCTGCTATGTGAAAGATACTGTCAAAAACACCAAAAAATAAGCAACAGACTAGAGAAAATATTTTCAAAACACTTGTCTGAAAAAGAACTTGTCACCAATATATGTATAAATTATTCTTGAAACCCACAATAATTTATAAAAGTTAATTAGAGTGGACAAAAGATCTGAATAGACACCTCATCAAAGAAGATATGTAGGTGACAAATCAGCATATGAAACACTTATCATTAGGAAAATGCAAATTAAAGCAATGAGATACCACTACATGTCTATTAGAAAGACTAAAATCTAAAAACTGTTATCAACACCCAAATTAGTGTGGTGCATTTGCTATAATTAATGAACTCCTTATAAACTAATGTCTATATTTTATTCAGATTTACTCAGTTATTACCAAGTATCTTTTTTTTTCTTTCTGTAACATGGTCCCACCCAGCATATCATATTACATACATTACACTTAGTCATTATGTCTCCTTATGCTCTTGCTGATGACAGTTTCTCAGGTTATCTTATTTTTGATGTTCATACTATTCAAGTATTTTTTTTTGATACTTCTTTCATGATAATATTGGGCTTCTGGATTTGAGGAGGAAGACCACAAAGGAAAGTGCCCTCTTATCACATTTATTGAAGAAACATACTAGCAATATGATTTCTTATTGTTGATGTCAACCTTGGACACTTGGCTGAGGCAGGCTTTGTTAGGTTTCTCCACTGTATTCTTTTTTTCTCTCCCTTTGCATACTGCGCTCTTTAGAAGGAAGTCACTATGCACAGCACACAGTTGAAGAGTGGAGAGTTATGTTTCGTCTTTGTAAGGACAGAGTAGCTGTGTAAACTAAGCAGCATCCTTCTGCATGGGACAGTCATGGCTTCTCCTCCACTCATTTATCTACTTAACTCTTTATTTACATCAGCATGGATTCAGTGGTACTTTTTTATATCTTTGGTTATA